CACACACACACACACACACACACACACACACACACACACACACACACAGTCAAGCACATCTGTCATCTTTGATCAGCTTATGTAAGCTATTATTAGTTCTGCTTTTTGTTTTATTTATTTTTAGACATTAGGGATCTTGTGCATGTTTGTGCACAATGTACTATGATATTTAAGTATTCTATAAATAGGACACAAGCTTTAGTTGGTGATGACATGATAATTTGCATGTGATGAATGAATGTTATATAATGTGCTGGTGTCAAAATAAAACATATTCAAGAATAAAGCTTAGGAGTCACAAAAAAGTTAAATTGTGTCATCTGGACAGTTTCTTTTTCGAATGAAAACATTTCATCCTTCAAAGGATTTCATCAGTCTGAGGCCTGCCAACAGGATCTGTCGTATTAAGTAGCACCTTGTTGACCTGTTTCAAACCAGTTTGCTGTTGAGTTCCCAGGCAGCATGGCTTTACATATGTAAAATTGAGGACCATCAGTCTGAAACAACCGATCATCAGGATCATTGATAAAATAAAAATTAAAAACAAAACAAACAAAAAAATAAGAACACCCTCAGGTGTCCTTTTTTTTTTTTTAGAAATTAGGTGTCTCATCTATACACACAAAAGGGGAACACAAAAGTCTGGGTGGTCAGGAGACCGTCCGTCAGGCCGGAGTAGGTCGGGCGAGCGGCCGGGAGACCGTCCGTCAGGCTGGAGTAGGTCGGGCTAGGTCGAGCAAGCGGCCGGGAGACCGTCCATCAGGCCGGAGCAGGTCGGGCAGGCGGCCGTCCATCAGGCCGGAACAAGTCGGCGGGCAGCCGGGAGACCATTCATCAGGCCAGGGCCAGTCAGGCAGGCAGCTGAGAGGTCGTTCAATAAGTCGTTCAGGTGGGAACAGGACAGACAGGTGGCCGGGAGACCATTCATTGGGATGGGACTAACAGGGCAGGTAGTCAAGAGGTTGTCCAATGGGCCATTCAGACGGATCAGACAGGCAGCCGTTCAGGCAGGAACAGGACAGACAGGGTCTCAGGCAGGTCAGGGATGAGGGTCTCAGACAGGTCGGGGACGAGGGTCTCAGGCGAGCCGGGGATGAAGACCTCAGGCGGACCCGGATCTTCTGCGGTTGACTCAGGATCTTCTGCAGTTGGGTCAGAAACGAAGACCTCAGGTGGACCGGGAGTGAAGATTTCAGGTGGACCGGGAGCGAAGACCTCAGATGGACAGGCCAGGAGCGAAGACCTCAGGCGGACCAGGATCTTCTGCGGTTGACTCAGGATCTTCTGCAGTTGACTCGGGATCTTCTGCGGCCGACTCAGGATCCTCTGCGGCCGACTCAGGATCCTCTGCGGCCGACTCAGGATCTTCTGCAGTTGGGTCAGGAACGAAGACCTCAGCGGATGGACCAGGAGCGAGTACCTTAGCAGACGGGTCAGCGGCAAGGAGCTCAGCAGACAGGTCGGCGGCGGCTGCAGGTTCAGGTACCACTGCAGGTTATGAATCTTCTGCGACCGGTTCAGGATGCTGAGCAGGTTCAGTGTCTTCTGCTGCAGACTCTGGACTGGCTGCTGCAGGCTGAATGCTGGCTGCTGCAGGCTGAATGCTGGCTGTTGCAGACTCTGGACTAGAGGCTGAGTGCTGGCTGCAGGCTGGCTTTTCAGCAAAAATCTCCACCCTGACATAAGAATGTCAGTGCAAATGATGGTTAATTTCAAAGAGAAATCCATCAGTGAGATAAAAAGTTGTGTTGTGAATGTCTGAAGCCCGTTCACAGGCCAAAACACCCATTGAGGTGTTCCCAGGTGAGAGGATTCCTGCCCAGTCATTAGAATTGGAAGGGATGAGAGCTTTAACTCCCCCTCCCAAAAAAGGCGAGAGGAAACGAGGTTTCCCAGCAGCCAAACCACAACAGGTGAGTGCCCCCTGGCCCAGACGAGATCCTAAATGGTTTCCCAAGAAACCAGAGGATGAACGAACGTACCAGAAGGGGGGCGAACGCCCTAAGGGTAAAAAGTATGGCACCAAAAGTGACCCATACAACCAGGGATCCCACTGGGAACCCCAGAGAAGGGGACCTGCTTCCCCACTACGTCGGCCTGAACAGCCTGAGATGAAAAAGAAACAGCAGCAGTCCAGAAAGAGAGCCGCAGACCTCTGAGCTCAGACGAGACAGAGAGTGTGCGTCGGTTCATGGAATTGTTGAAAGGTGTTGCCACGGACAAACAACCTAACGTGTTGTTTGGCAACATCGTTGCTGTTGAGTCAGAGCACACAAACTACACAGTTACTGCTGTCACAGACAGTCACCATGACGCTGTTGTTGTAAACTCTGACACGCCCTCACCTGAAAAAGGGGGGGGGTACAATCACACGTCACAGACTGTGACCCGTCACAAACTGAAACCTTAGAAACAGCAACAGTTGTGCTAACGGTTGAGTCAAACCAGGGTGACACAAACAACAACGTTGCCACTGTCACGGACAGCCACCAGGACCTTGTTGTTACAAACAATGAGAGCCCCTCAACACACAGTGGGCGGGTGATCTCATACATCAATGACGGAGGCCCGTCAAAAGCCGAACTCCCAGGAGCAGCAGCAACTGCGCCAACGTTTTAGAAAAACCGGGATTACACAGGTAAAGGTAAACTTAAGAAGAAACGTCGGCCAAAACCTACAAGGTTCCTGTGTAACCTGATCAGAAAGGGGGTTGCTAAAAAAGCTTACCTGTAGATCACACTTGAAGGGGTTGTCACACATGAAGCCCTACTGGATGGTGGAGCCGACATAACTATTATGTCAGCCAAACTGTTCGGGGAGCTCAGGACCGCCGCTAACAGTGTTCACAGGGAAATACCTCTCATAGAATGTGCTATAGGACTGCAGGGCCTCGCAGAGACGAGGACAACCCTAACAGCTATAGCTATGGTTCACATGCAGGTTGGCGAGATGACACTATACCACCCGGTACATGTGTCTCCGGTTGACTCATTTCAATTTTTGATCGGCCAGGATTTTATAAATCGCTTTGACGCGATTATAGATTATGGTACACAGACAATATGGGCTAGAGTGAGCAAACCCCTGCCAATACTCATGCCTCCTGAGACAGTCACAGACTGCCCAACAGCAGGCACTGCAGAAGGCACCGAGGACCTCCCAGCTGAGAACAAAGTCCCAGTAAGTAAGCCTTCAAAAGCATGTGAAACCGAAGAGACCCAACCGGTGAACTCGACTGACTGAACAAGAAAGCCTCCTCTGCGAGCTGAGACAGTCAGGGCCCACCGTATACGACCTACCATTGGTAGTTAAAGGTGTAGAGATCCAAGGATCCCACACCAGAGATGCTGTACTGTCACCGGGGACAGATAAACCAGCTATCAAGGACGGAGCCGCGGACGGCCCTCAGACCCTCCGGGCTGCTCGCAACTCTGTCAGTACAACCTACAGCCGAGGTGATGGCAGTCACACGTGCACAGGCTACAGCCAAGCCGGCTGACAACACAGTCTCTGTACAACCCGTGCTGACTGACCCAGACATCATCCAACTTCAGAAGTTGGATCCTGCGATAAACTCGATGATGCTGTACTTGACTGACCCAGAAAAAAACACTCCGTCCGAAGCCGACCTGGATTCCCATCCAGACCTTAAAGCCCTCTTTCAGCTGCGCAAACAGCTAAAACTAATCAAGGGCATCCTAACTTTTGCTCATGGGGCGACGTCCTCACCCATGTTCGTGGTCCCCATGACCACAGGGTGATGTTACCAGACGCGATAACGTGATCAAATCTGACAGTCAGAGTGAGTGACACACCGAAACGTCATTTTCTAGTTGCTTAATCACTACTTTTGTCAATGTTGAAACGTTTTCCTGGTTGCTTAGTCACTATTTTTTGTCAATGTTGAGACATTGTTTAATTGGTTTTCTGTATTGTTTCTGAACACCCCCAGCAAGAATGAATTTTGTGTGTACTTTAGTTAGAGACTAAAAGGACTTTAACTATGCCAACATGCAGTTCATTTGTTAAAATTCAATGGTGGAGGGGTTTGAGTCTCCCAATGATCATAGGAGCTATGCTGTCAGAGGCTTTACGTCCCTACTAGGTAAGGGACCGGACAAAGTGCAGCCCAAACCCCCCTATGATGAGAAAAACAAATGGACTTGATGTTCCCTCGCCCGGACGTGGGTCACCGGGGCCCGACTCTTGAGCCAGGCCTGGAGGTGGGGCTAGCGGGTGAGCGCCTGGTGGCCGGGCTTTTACCCATGGAGCTCGGCCGGGCACAGCCCGAAGAGGAGACGTGGGTCCCCCTTCCCATGGGCTCACCACCTGTGGGAGGGGCCAAAGGGGTCAGGTGCAATGTGGGATGGGTGGTGGCCAAGGGCGGGGACCCTGGAGGTCTGATCCTCGGTTACAGAAGCTGGCTATTGGGACGTGGAATGTCACCTCACTGGTCGGGAAGGAGCCTGAGCTGGTGTGTGAGGTTGAGAGGTTCCGGCTAGAAATAGTCAGACTCACCTCTACGCATGGCTCTGGAACCAGT